TTCTGTTCAGGTCTGCAGGACACCTTTTCTCAAGCATCCAGGTCTGCTCGAACCAAGTACCCTCCCGGATTGGGGTCTGACCTTTTTTTTTATTATTTTTTATTTTTTCCTCATCCTTTGCCCAGTTGTGCTGAGAAGCTGAAGGAAGTAGGGGAGGGAGTATGTCTATATTTGGACCATACTGTGTGGGCAAAAGAAACATAAACTAGTCATAACCAGAGAATTAAAGGGAACTTCGATGAGTTTGGGGTATTAGCGAGTCTGAAACTTATGAATTTTAGGCAATTTCTGTTTGTTCTTATTTTTGCAACTGGCTTCTGAGGTGCGGTGGCTTTTCCTGGCTGGAATTGCACGTGAGTGACAATTCAAAATGCCCAGTTAATGCCAGCCTTGGGGTTAGCATGATTTTATAGTTTATCTGTATATTTATTGGAATTCTTGCTACTAATTTTAAATGTTTGCAAGAGGCTTTAAATTCTGAAAGTAATTCCCTTGTTCCAACATAAATAAGGGTAAGCTTTCATTTGCTCTGCTTGGCATTTGTGAGTCTTAACGTTCAAGAAAACAGACAAATACACCGATACTAAGTATAGGCAAATATTTTCCGTATAACAGTGCCTGCAGTATAAATTCCAGTAAATGTATAACAGAACTTCTCGAAACAACATATTCTTTAATTATCTGTATTTCCCTGAAGAGATGGGGAGGTTTCCAGCTGGTTGGTTGACCTGAGGATCTCAAATGTCCTTTCTGGTCCTGTGTAGGAACATCCCATCCAGCTTTTCCACTGAATGTTTTCAAAAACCTCATGACAGCTTTGATCATACCCGATAAAGTATTTTATTAGTTTTACATTCAATTCTTGTGTGTTTTATTGATACTTTCTTGTTCCTCCTACTGTTCACTCAAGCTTCCATGTGCCAGATGTGGAGTATTTAAGCGCGAGGAGCTGTTTGTGCATTGCGACCACCTCGGTGGGCTTTCGGAGTGTGTGTCAAGGGTTGCTAGCTCTCCTCTAGCCTGGGGAAGCTAGAGGATGAAGATGAGCATAATACCATGCTAATAAAAGACAAATGTTTTGTGGGAGCTTTAGGGGTGAGTTTTGGGTTTTTTGGTTTAATCTCGTGACTGCTGAAATAGTCTTACGGTATCTGGAGGGCTGTCTGACAAAAAACACTTGGGTCTGTGGGGTTTGATTTGTGCTGGCATCCTAGAGCAGAGCTTTAGCGTTTGAAAGCTTGCTGCTTTATTTATCCCTCGTGCCCGAAGAATACCGCAGGACCTATGGAAGGCAGTGAACTGGGCACAGAAGCATGGCAATGCTCTTTCCAGATAGCAAATAAATCAATTTTTATAGAGTAAAATGCTGGGTTGTCACCCGACGTAACAGGGTCTATTCAGGCTCCTTTTGAGGGTCTGTTTGCAGGTCAGGTAGATACGGTGAAGCTGTCAAATTAAGTTTGGGTAGATCTTGGAGAACAGCAGCTGCGCATTTGCGGTTTGGATGTTTCTTTGAAAGTTTTATTTCTGTAGAGCTTTGGGGGATTGGTGAGTTCAACTGCAGGAAGGACTCTCCAGTTTATTAAAACAGTTCATTTTCTGTTACCGTAAGATGGGAGGAAGCTTGATGCATTTATTTTTTTTTTTAAAGATCCATTGTAGGAACTAGCAAACAGTGAAGACGTGGTGATGATTTGCTAACCTTTCAGTCCTGCTTCCGGAAGCCTTTTGTTGAAACAACAGTGAGCAGAGTGTCTTAGGTGTGTTTAAAGGGGCTTTGCTTGCTCTTAGTGTATGCATAGTTTAGAAATTCGTTGGTTGTGCATGGCAGTCGCTTGTTCTCCAGTCCCACAGGTCCCAGCAATCGTGCGCATTCACACTTGGACCTCTTCAACAGAGCTGTCGTCGTTCTGGATGAGTTAAGTGCAGAGGTGACCATTGGTACCTGGCAGCAGCAGAAAACCTGTTGAACTGGCAGGTGGCTTGTTTGAAATACTTGGAACTGCTGTTTTCTTGCTTTTTGTCTTTATCCTAATCAGCCTCTAGTAGCTATTCTTAAATATAGTGAGTCTCATGAAAGAATAGAGGTAGAATTTGTTAGATGGAAGATAAGGCTGTGCAGGTGGCCCGGTTGTTTGGACAGAGCTGTCTTGTTTTGCCTCTTAATTGAACGCAAAGGTGAGGTTTCATCAGCATCCTTGGATTTACCAAAGATTTACTGAACCCTGTAAGTTGGTGTACTCTGGAGAAGGCAGACTGGTACCCACAGCAGGACTATGGTCCTGTCGTAGGGCCGAGGAGATAACTTGTTTTAATTAGAAGGAAAGGCAGGAGGAGGGAAGGACCTTGTTCCCACTAAAGGTTTATTCCTAGGAGACTGTAACAAAGGAAGCTCAACGTCTTGGCATCACTAAGGAGTAAGAATTGGGTGACTCTTTAGAAGATGATGGATGGGTTTTGGAAATGGTAGCAAGAACTCTTTAAAATTAGGGTTTGTCCATACAAGACTATTCAGGAAAGTTAATCCAAATGGACTGAAGATAGAAATTGAAATACGGTTTTAATTTGGTTTAGCTTAACTCATCTGTTTGCTTTTATTCTGAATGAAGGTGTCCATACAGGAATTTAATTTCATCTAATAAAAGTACTTAAATTCATATCCTTAATTAGGTTAGGGCGTGCGTGTGTTGTCTTCTTCCGTGAGCATTCTCAAACGAGCTGTAGCCAAGGAACTGGGCATCAGCAGAAGAGAAGCGATGCCTGTGTAGGTACCGGTTGCTGAGAAGCCACGAGCCTTCCCCTTCTCTGCCTAAAAGGGGAACTCGGACGGTGCAGTGACTCTCCAATACCCAGCTCTTCCCTGCGATCCCTTCTGTGGAGCATGGCAGGGAGTTACAACGCTGATATTCCTACACGGCGGATCACAAAACCTGGCAGCCCATAGGCATAGACAACTCGGGAGCCTAGAAATACTGTATTTCAGGGCTTCGAGGAAATAAAGCTAAAGTTTGCCATTTAACTCGCATGAACGCTCATTTTTAAGTTTGAGATTACGCATGTAACTTCAAACCATTTTGTATGTAGATTAGGGATTTTATAAGTGCTGTAATTAAAGCTTGTCCTGCTTTGTGTAAGAGTACTTTTGTATTGTTACTGCCTCGTTATTCTACTTACGTGCTTCATATTACCTTTTTATTCCACTTAAGTAATTTTCCAGAATTAATTGCAGAACTTTGCAAATCTGTAATTAGCTGTACCAGATCCGCATTAGAGATTTTTTTTTTATATCCAGATTTTTTTAATGTTTCAAATGCTTGTTTGCTCAAGTATGTTCATATGAATTTCTGGACACATTGCACAGTACATGCTGACACCGTGAACAAAAAGCTGGCCAGTCTGTCTATGAACAGTGTGCTGTGGTATGCAATGTCGTGGCACTCAAGGAATTCAGTGATCTCTGTACGAAGAGCAAGATGTTGTTTATTGTTTCTTTATAAAGGTTGTTTCGGGTCTATAAAACTCGCTATACAACACGGAGTGAGTGCTGTCAGCTTCAAGGATATTCTTGCTTTACTCACCGTCATAAATATCTCATAACAATCTAGGGTGTGATGCAGATCTGTTAAATCGTATTGGATGGGCTCTTAAAAGGCTCTGAAGACTGTGTCTGGAATGAGCTTATTCATCTGTGCTGGAAGGATATTTTCGTGCTAGTGAATATGGTTTTTTTGTTAATGTCAGCGTATTGTAGCTTAGATTCTTCACTCCTGGGCTGAAAGCATTTGGAAAGGTTTTATGAGAGATGATAAATTTAATGGGCTTTCAAGCTGTTAACTCTTTTGCTGCTAAATGTAAATGTCTGTTTGTGTAATCCCGTGGAAGTCGATGGGATCTTTATAGTGCTGGGAGATGCGAGAATTGCGATACAAAAAGGACAATACAAGTGCACCGTTTGGACTTTGTCTCCTAAACTCTTCTTGGCATTTTTCCCATTGAAATGTTTCTCCCGTATATGTGGCAACATGTTCGCTTCTAAATGACATTGCATCCTATTTGTAAATTCTTCTGTCCTTTTGGAAGGCTTCGCGATGGGATCCCACACGCAGTGGGTTTTTCCACCCGTTGAGCACAACTCTTGTACTGCAGGAGCGTGTCTTGAAATGGTTTATATGACTTAGGAAATGAAACCAATACAGCCACAATTCTCCTGAAATTTAAGAACTACAGACTTACTTTAACTTAGCGTGGCTTGGATTGCGTACGTTATTTTTTTTGTTGAAACCTCGGGTAAGAGTTTGAATTCCAAAGCCTTTGTGATCTTTGTAAAATCACAGCGAAGCAAAAAGTGCAGTCGCAGCGCAAAAAGGCTGGAATTCAGTGGTATTTCTGTCCTGAGCAGATTTAAGAGGTTTTAGAGCTAGCAAGAGTACGACTTCTTGAAATGTAAGCAAATTAGTATGGAGGAAGAGGCCGATTGTTGAAATGGGCAACGTAACAACAGTATTTTGCAATGAAGTTGCAGTTTGCTTTTCCAATGAATTGCCAGCTTTCTGTTGGAAAAAATTTGCTTAGTGTATTCTCAGACCTAGCACTGTAATAAATTTTCCCCTCAAATATCCACTGTTTAACTCAAAACTTACATAAGCACTGAAGATACACAGCTAAGCTATTCTGTGCCTGAAATGTGGTTTAGGGGTCAGGCAGGAACTAAGCGTAGCCCATCTGGGTATCATCTCAGAGCTGTTCTGTCTGAAGTAAGGGTACCACTGGTGACGTTACGGTTTTATCCCTTTTCTAGGTACAAATTGCTGTTTCAGGAGTTTTTGTATTTTCTTGCTTGGAATTCTGTATACTTCCCTGAACCTTTTCCCTTTTTTCCAAAAAAAACCCAAAACTATATAGGTCAAAAATCAAGCTGAGTATTTTTTGGCAGTGAATGTTGGAGCTTTAAATTTCTCTAAGGTAATCTTTTTTTTTTTTTTCCCCACTTGTTTTTGTAGGATGCTGTGACATCAAAACCAGTAATCCAGTTTCAAGGAAGCCAAGGGGTAAGTTTGTATGTGGGTTGCCTTGGAAAGTTCTTTACTGACTTAAACAATTAATGTAAGGTATTTCTTCTGTATGTCTGTCCTATTCCAGTTCAAAGAACAATGCTCTGATTTTTGAAAGTGAGAGATGTGAAATTCAGACATGGTCCAGGAGAGAGTGCTCATCGATTGCATGGATTACCCCTCTAAAAACTTTCCCCCCCTTCTTTGTTTTCTAACCTTGCTAAACCCATAGCAAGGTTATATTTCTATCACCAGTGTTGCTGGTGGTGAAATTGAGTTTTAGAAGGGCATGCTGTTGGGTAGAGCAAGGCAACGGGAAATTCACTGATGGCAGCAGTGTGGTGGGTGCAGCAATCCATGGAAACCTCGCCTGTGTCCCGAGGAAATGCCATGTCAAGCCTGGGAAACCTGGTGCAAGACTTTATGGGTACCAGTTATTTACAGTAGCAGTGCTTGGAGGCTGCTACGAATGTACTGAAGCTTTGTTTAATATGTGTGTCTAAACAACTGTGCAGTTTCTGTGAGTACCAAAAAGGGTTTTTTTATATTTAGGAGTTTTATTTCTTTAACTTCTGTTCCAATGACTGAATTCCTCCAAGATATTTATAGACACTTAAAACAGCCTGTCATGCCGGTTACTGACAATGTTGAGATTTAATTGGTAGTGTTTCTGGTAAAGTAATGCAACTGTTCAGTAAACTAAAAAAATGTCATTTATATACCTTTTAGATAGAAAAGTGTGTGTTTAACTTTGGTGCTCTGCACAAGGAAGGGGAATTTAAATTATTTTTTTTTTCCCAAGAATCTGAACTCAGCTGTAAATAAGTACTTAATTTTTTGTGGTGGCCCAATAAAACTTTCAAAAAGGCTTGAATTAAGTAGGCATTAAAGTCTAGCACGTTTCTCCTTGCCCATATTTTACCTTGTGATGTTAGTCTCACTAATAGCACATAGTACTCTAACAAAACCTAGCAGGAAAGACATGATTGTTATCGTAAGTTAAGACGAAAAATACAAACCTTTTTGTCCTGGGAAATAAAGAAAGGAGCGATTTCCAGGTTTTTTATTTTGTTTACAATTAAACTTCACAGAAAGCTCAGCATGAAAGCTTAGATAAAAATCTGCAACTGAAGTTTGGAGAAATTAGAAGCAAGTGACAAGGAAAACTTTTAAGGGTGCCTGATTTGTTGCTATTAGATGAGTAAACGGCTTTGCATGTAATAAAGAAGCTGAAAAGATTGCAAATGCTTTCCTTTCCCTTTGTAGAGCACCTTGTGAGGATCTACAGCTAACTTTTCCTGTAAAGCTGCTTAAGTTCTAGAAATGCCTCTTCTCTTAATTAATCTTCCCCCTGGAAGGGAATGTAGCAAAATGAATCAGAACAGCTTAAAATGCTCCACTGCCCTCAGCCACTGTGCTCTCCTTGTGGTGGGTTTCGCGTGGATCTGATACAGACCCAGGCATTTTCACGTTAACCAAAAAAACCCCCTATTTTAAAATGATGCAGTTCCTTATAATAACTAAAAATATTTTCAAATTATGCAGTTGCTTATAAAAATTAAAAATAAATCTTTAATGCACTTAATTGTATTTTAGCCCTTAACTTCCAGAGAAGAGTTTTAGGTGAAAGAGCTGCCAGTCACCTGTAATTACAGTCCAGGTTGAATGGAAGAGGAGCAAAGCTGCACGATTGCATCTGTTGCCATTTAAAGAGCGAAGCGTTGAGCCCGGCACAGTGTGAGCAGCGCCGGGGCGGTGCGGGTGGAAGGAGGACGTTGGCAGCACAGAGCTGACCTCTGCTTGCCTCGTTTTCGGCTGTTTAATTAATTGTGCTGTCGAGTAAAGGCCAAAGGTAGAGCTTTGAAGAAAGCGAGATCCAGTTCAATTGGGGCAGATAGAAAGAGCTCTTTGTCCTTTTATTATTATTTTCACTGGGTATGACAAGAAGCTGGCAGCTGCATAACCGTCTGTTTTTAAGTGTAGTACTCATATATGTCACGATTGTGCCCTGCTTTAAGGCACTGACGACAGGGCTTTAGATGCTTTCTAGTGAGCCTCCTGTCAATTGGACTGAAAAGATCATTTCAGTAATTTAACAAGTTCTCAAATTCAGATGATGACATTAAAACGTATTTGTTTAGCTATCTATTTTTGGAATACGCTTTCTTCCACTGTACCTTAATTCCCTGATTTGTTGCCTTCCTATTTTACTTCCTAATAAATGTTGCTATGGAGGAGACTTCTCATTAACTCTTGAGGGCGGTAGGTTTTGTGTGTAGCACAAATGTCAGAGTGTGATTTAAAGCAGTGTCCAGTGACATGAGGTTTTAATAGTGTGGCTTTTCTGTGTTAATATCCCTCTCGCAAGAAGGAAGAACTTAAAGTACTTGATGACTGGGGGAGGCAGGACATAAAATAAGAGTTTAAAATGAACTGCTGCTTCCTTAATTTAATTCTCTAGAAGCCTTAAATCACTGTGTCCATGCCTTTTTTTACCTATTCCCAGTGTTAGTCTAATGAATGCTGTCATGGATACTGTCAGTTTCTAATACACAGAAAAAAACTTTGATGTTTAATACCCTAATTAACCAGAGAAGGGAATCGGCCAGGAATAAAACACAGGGTCAGGAAGGTGGCAGCTCCATCGGCCAGGTGCTGAAAGGCGGATGTCAGTGGTTCTAGCCCGAAATAAAAGAGCTGTTTCAGTGATGGGGGACCGAACCTCCTGCATGGATCCTGGTCAGGTTGAATCTCACGAGAGTTTTTATAAACTGTGGACTGTAAATGATCTTTGCCTTGGGATGCATTTCTTTATAGCAATGCTAGTCTTATTAATTACTTTTTTCGGTGCAATAATTGTGTAATAATCAGAATTTCAATAGCAGTAACTAGGTCGTAATTAGCAGAGTGTTACTCTACTTTGAGATGCTGAAGTGGGACTATCTGGGTATTGCTTAGGAGCAGCACCTATTTGTTAGCTTTTCATCACAAACTAGATTTTCTTGGATAGTTTTGTAAGTTTATATGGAGTCTTGAGCATTTTGCTTGTTTCAACGTGCATATAAATTAGAATTTAAAAGCTTGAGTACCAAAGCGTTACAAACGGTGGTAGTTGGTGGCATGCATAACTGTACAAGAAAGGCTGAAGATGCTTCTATTTCGGTAAAAACACGTGCAGAATTAGAGCTTAGGGTGGGTCAAATTTGCAGGTGCTTGGAGGGGGGAGACGAGATGGGAGGAGTAGGGAAAGAACTGACTTGGGGGGAGTAGAAAACCCATTCAGGTGCCAAATACACGTATGTTCACACAGCTTTCCTAAGTATGACTGTTAGGAACAAAACGTCTTAACTTTACGTGATTGGAAAAAATGACGTTTTCCCCTATTTCTTGGGATGAACTTGTGCTGATATTAATAGAGGAAGGTGAAATTACCATTCAGAGTGAGCTGTACACAGATGAGTATTACTTGAAAGAAAAAAAAACAGAAGTCACATCTGTACTGAGCTATTTTTAAGTGTCTATGGTTACTGGTGTAATAGTCGGCACCAAAATTAGGGCTCCCTCAAAGCAGTTACCATGCTGATTTGGTGGCTTGAGAAACCTTCTGTTTCAGCTAAAAATAATTCCTAGATAACAGCCAGTTTGCATATGCTATACTTTTCAGTACTGGAACGAGCAACATTTAACGTTAAAGTGACTCTCTCGCCCCTGTCTCGGTTTATGTCCTTTGAAGAAGCTGCAGAAACTACAAAAATGCCAAAGCCAGGGCTCTCGGAGCAGCCGTTTTTTACAATGGTAAATCAGGAGGTAGAAGAAAGCTATTTTAGTGTGTGAATGTATGATTTGGCTGCATCCTCCAGGTTTTATTTTACAAAGCTGTTGTGTGCAGCACAACTGGCTCCCCCAACGAGCGGCACTGGGAGCCGAACAGACCCGTTGCATTTACCTTCTTGCCCTGTTCCCAGCGAATTAACTAGCGGGTGCGCAGTGCCAACTGCAAAATACCCACAATCTACTGTTTACATAACTTTGACTTTGTGCATGTTCTCAGCTCGCTTGTAAAGCAGAAGAGAATTTTATTCCTTCTGGATGGGTGGGGGCAGAGGGTGCCGGGACAGATTAAGGGCTCAAGGCTGTGGCACACGTTTGGCAGGGGAGATAACAGGGCTCAGCTGCCGCTGCCGGAGGGTCAGCGCTGCCCGGCAGCGCCCGGATCACCACCAAATCTGCTCCGAGTATTTTTAGATCCGGATCCTGGGACTGCACGAGGAGATAACTTATCCTTCTGTACAAAACATGGCTCAAGTCTGGGTTTCTTGGCTTGCCGTTTGAAAGAAGGGAAGTCTGTTTTGAGGGCTGGCTGGAGGATAGCTGGTCTTTACGGCAAGTAAATGGAAAATGCAGCACTGGCTCAGCTCAACGCAGGTCACGCAGGCGTTTCTTGCCACTTCTGAGAACATCCCTGTGGTTTAGCAAAGTGGCACAGATGCACTGGGTTTCCAGGCTGCTGTAGACGTCTGAGGTCAAAGGGAAACCACCTAGAAACCCTTCTGTACCAGCAGTGCTCTTTTATGGAGCACAGTCATATGTGGGTGCCACGAGTTGGTTTGCTAGGCATATGTATTTTGTGCATATATGTGGCAATCTGGGTAAATATAAATCTGTGTGGTAGAGTGTAGCCTAAAATAGATTGAAGCTGATGTTCCTTCTGTCTCATTTTCTGGAAGCCATCTTAATTATCAAATATTGATGCGATAGTAGAGCTCAGATGCTGAGATTATGTTGGATCTTGGACGCAGAGGGGAAACAGTTTCCCTTTTGCAAAATGAATGGCTGGGGGGAGAAAAATAACGCAGATTGCTGTAGAGTTGTCTGCGGAGTGCACTTAATGCTTGATTAAATATTTAATTTAGCAGCAGCGTCACACTCTACTGTGAGCCATGAAATCTCGTTATGGAATTATAATCTCTTAAAAAAGAATAAGCGTGGTACCTAGTGACCTGGCTTGTACTATGTTTAGTGCTGGCTCACTAATTCTGAAGAAACAAGTCTCGAGTGGTTTAAATTGAGTATAAACAGCGATGGCGAGTCTGTTTTGAGCCTGAATCAATAGAATTGGGTCAGATTCCTCGAACAAGATTATTGTGGGCTCCGCTTTGCAAGGCAGCAAGCCACCAGTTCAGATCCCTGTTCTGTTACAGACATGGCTGTCTTTTTAGCTGTTCTTACATCTGTCTACGTCTGTTACCTTATCTTTTCAGTGCATATAGTTTTGCTAACTTGAATCCTTCTTGTAGCTTCTTGCTCTTCATAGTCTCCTATGCAGTAATCCATATGCTTTACTTGTGGTGGGTTGCAAAATGGCTAAAAGCATAGTGACTGCAGAAAAACTGAATTTTGTGTTAGCGCGGCTACCCAAGTGACCAATATTTCTCTCCTTCCAAACAGCACATCGCGATTCCAAGGCCTGATCGACCTACGGAAGTACGGACTTTCACATTTTATCTTTCAAATATTGGCAAGGACAGCCCGCAAGGGAGTTTTGACTGTATCCAGCAGTATGTATCTAGGTGAGTGGTACATCAAAAGAAAATCTAGCCTTTTTTTTAAATACCTTATCTTCTGTAGAATCTTTTCCCTAACAAACTTGAACAAGACTTAATACGTGTTCTTTCTTTTTAGAGTCTTTCTAATCTGTTTGCCTGTCTGTATTTGGGTAAGGAGGCACTCGCAGAAGAATCTGTTCACCTCTCAGCTTCTTTCTGTCCCCTCCTATTATTTAGATAATGCAACCTCAGTTATTCACCGGTGACAGAGATGTGCCTGTTGGCGGTGTTGGGAGTATCTTTTCCATTGCGTTTCTTTTGCAGCAATGGCAATATCCATTTGGATTGCCTTGGAAGCATACAGGATAAAATCACTGTGTGTGCTACTGATGATTCCTACCAGAAGGCAAGGCAAAGCATGGCGCAGGCAGAGGAGGAGACTCGCAGCCGGAGCGCTATAGTCATTAAACCTGGGGGGAGATACGTAGGTAAGCAGCAACTTGATTTGGGGGTGTCTTCACTAGCTTCTGAAGTCAAATGCTGACATCTGTTTGCTTGACCATGAAAGTCTTTGACGAGTACCTGGTAGTTCTTATGGGCGTCTGATTTATTAGGCTGCTGCTCTCCTTATATTGCGACTTCTTCGCAGCTTCCATCTTCACGCTGGAACACGTGTGGTGGTGTTTGCATGGCCTCTGAGGGTTGTCTGTGTGCAGTCACATCACTCTTGAGCATTATTTTGTATTTGTCACGTGGTGATGCTGAGAGTGTCCTGCTGATCCATCAGAAGTGTCTGTGCTCCTGGCAAGGTCAGCTGAAATGTCCCACCGCTGTTGTCACACATCTGGTGTGTGCCTGCACTTCAGACCATAACATGCAACATGGAGGATGCAGATAGCAGAGCCCTTGTGTTAATAAACAAAGAGACTAAAGCAGTGCTGCTGACTGCGGCCTTAAACCAACCATCTTATTGCAACAATGAAAGGAGAATCTATGGGGAAGAAATAAAACTATGGCAAGTATCGGTGGACTCGAAAAGGAGACTGCAGAGTCCTAGCTTTGGGCTCGGGTCCCTGCTTTAACCTCAGTCTGGTCACAAATGTAGGGGACAAATACTAACCAGAAAGCAGAGTTTTGTTTTTTTTCTTTTGTTTTTTTGAGCCAGCTGTTTTTTCTGTAGCCAGTCTCTTCTCAGAGGATGTCTGTGATGAGAATGGTGAGTTGCAAAATGTAGAACTGACCCTGACTCATTGTTTTATCAGCCCAGTGCTCAAAGCTGAGAAATAAGATAGTAATCAGGAAGGAAATGCATTGCTTTCCTGTAGACTAGAAGATTATTTTGTTTAGCTTATATTTGAGAACATTACAGTAAGTGGATGAAGTTGTTGGGCGTGTGAGGAAGAAGATTTGCAAAGAAAATTGCTTCCCGGAAAGACAGAGCAAAACTTTTGATTTAAAAATACTCTTGCTAAAATGTTTACCGCTCTGAAGTGGAGGTACAACCATGTAAAAAGCAGTGGAGTGCATGCTGCATATATAAGATGTCAGTGTTTAAGACAGGAGGAAAGCACTGGTCCAAGAAGGACGAACCTGGGCAAGGACAATCCTCTTGTGGGATACGCATGTATTTGGTGTGCCAGCACCAGCAGCTGATTCGCTTGCAGGCTGGTCTGGAGGGAGAAGGCTGGCTCTCGCATTTCCATGAGAACACGGAGCTCGGCACTTAAACGTCAGTGGAGTCATTCCAGGCAGCTCAGATGTGGAAGAATTTATATGAAATGTTGAAATTGGAGATCAACAGAACAGTATAATGTGAACTAACACTTGAATGAATATATATGTAGATACATAGCTGATACGTCTGCAGGGGGATGTGTCTGCTTACTAAATACGTGTATGTATACATCTGTATATATGCACATGTATAAATATTTTAAGACTTTGTGTTCTGGCTTACCTTAGTTTTTTCTTTTCCTATCATTGCACATTTTGGCTCCAGCCTTAAGTGGAAATGTCCCAATGTGTTTTTGCTGTTCATGACCTGGCAAGAGTTAAGGGAGTTCTAGAAAGCCGACGAATCTTCTCTTGTCCCATTTCTGGAAATGAAGTCCAGTTGACCTCTGAATTTTGGGATGTTTAACATGTGAATTGTTGTTTTTCTCCCTCTCATCGTAACTCAGCCCTGCCGACGATGGGTCGTAGTTACTTGCATCAGCGTGGTGCGTAATAAAAAGCCAGGAAATGGGAACTCAGTTATGCAATCTACATTTCAGTAAAATAAACACTGCAGACAATCACCAGTATCTTCAGATGACTCAGTTGAAAACATTGCTTCCTAGCAGTGGAGAATTGCCGTACTGGAATAAACCTCCAAAATTCTTGCAGTAAATGCTGGATATTGTTTGTCCTAGTGAAGGTCACTTTCTTGAACCAAAGTGATTATTGATTGCACCTCCATCTTTTAGGCCTTGGAACCGACAGATTTTCGATTTGCTGGTTTCACCTTTGATAGCAGGAACCTGGCTTTGTGACCTGTTTCTGTATTCAAAAGAGTAAAATTCTGATTTGCCCTTTAAGTGATGTGGGACTTATGTGAGGGTTCTAGTTAAAGCTGTTTTTCAATAGAAATGAGAAAAAAAGACTTCTTGTATAATGCTCTCAGAAACCAAGAACCACATTTGGGACGGAGTTGAGGAAGCTGCCTGTGAGGGCTTGAGACGAACTTTTGAGACAGCTTTCTGTTCTCACGTATACGTAAATGTAATTGGAGGGCGAAGCAGTTGTTACTACAGTGTAGAAGGGGTTATTCTATTGGAATAGACAGCACGCTAATGAATAGGGAAATGTATCAGTGTTAGACCCCATTCATGTGGCTGTGTTTGGCGGGGGGAAGGGAGGTGGACCCAGCCCCATAAAGTTCCTATTGTTCTAAAAGCAGAAACATCTGCTGGAGTAGCGTTTTTGCTGAGATCAGCAGCAGGGAGCCGCTCGTTGACCAGTTCTGGTCTTTCCACTCCGTATTTCGACTCTTCTACATCATAATGCAGAATTTTCTTCTCATAGGGAGGGGAAAAAATGGTTAGATTAACCGTGGGGATACGTGCACTTGGGATAAATGAAAAGCTGGCAAACAAAGAGAGCTTTATGTAAGCTTGTGGCCAATAATACTCAGGTTTCCAGAGCTTGGTGTTGCTGTTTACAGGCTTGTCATGAATCATAAAACTCACGGGCTACTCGTTCTGGCGGCGTATCGGAACGGATGGGGGTGTGCTGGTTGTGTTTGTCCTTCATTGTCATCTTCGGGCGCTTCAGATGGTGTAATGAACTCCATATACGTGTTGACAGACCACTGGCCTTTGCAAGGTGACTGCTGCAGTTTACTATTCTCATCTCATTTTAGGCAAAAAGGTTCAGGTGCGTAAACCTGCACCAGGAGCTTCCGATGCTGTTCCCTCCAGGAAGCGCCCAACGCCAGTCAACCTTGCCAGTGCAATAAAGAGAGGCAATAGTGCCATTTCTCAGAGACCCTTCAAAGATAGGGTTGTGCACTTACTGGCACTAAAGCCTTATAAGAAACCTGAACTTATTCTCAGATTGCAGAAGGATGGACTTTCTCAGCAGGACAAGGATTTGCTGGACAACCTTCTGCAACAGGTTTGTACTCTGATGAAGGCAACAATTTAGGTAAAGGGAAACGTCTTCTCAGAATGGTAGTACCTTCTGTATTAGTCTGAATGTAACCTGTATGTCTCAAAGCTGCAGCTGAATGTTTCTCTGAAGGCCACGTCTGACAAGTTCACGATGCACGTTGCTATTTTGCTAGAGGTAGCAGAAGCCTCTCACGTATGTGCTTCGGTTTAGGTGTATGCAACTAAACTGTATGATTTCGGTTCACCAGATCAGGCACTCAAGAGGAACACTTTTGGTTGGTCGTGGGGAGAATTATCTAACAGAGGATCTACGAGCTGTTTGATTTGTTACAACCTATAAATCTGTTCTATGTATTTTTTATTAACGTGGACATAAAGGAACACATTCGGTGTTAATACATGTAATGTTTCCTGTGTGAAGGAAAAAATACGTCCTCTTCCACTAAGCTTTACATTTTCTTTGTATTGTTCAACCCATGCCTTTCCTGCTTAGAAGTGCAACTGGTTAGGTGTGAAGATCATGCAGCTTCTTGCAAAGCATATTATTTGTATGTCAAGTGTGAAAGCTGTCTCCAAGCTGAATCAGTTCTTAACACTTTGAGTCATGTTGAAGGTGCCATTTTAGGAATTGCAGTAAATACCTTTATTGCTGTCAGTGCAAAAGGCATCATGGATGTTTACTTAAATGCTGCAGCTGCCCTCTTCTGTATTGGATTTTTTTTTTTTTACTACTCCTTTCCAAAGCTGAAAAGAATGAGACAGTGAGGAGTTGGTTTGCCCGAGGGCACAGGGCAGGTCATATTGCAAATGGAGTTATTGCTGGAACAACTTGTTCCTTCCCTAGGTTTTAGTCCTGTAGCCCTTAATTTTCCAGCAGAGCTAGAATTCTTTTGAGCACCCTTTTGAATAGGTTTGGTACTAGAAATACTATTTCTGGTAATCACCTTTTCTTGATGCTCTCACAAGCCCCTAGCAGGCAAGTGGGGTGTTCGGCAGTGTCCACAGTGTCAGCCTGATTTGACTGTAAATGTATTGCTTGTAAACTTTAATCTCCTTTCAGCACTACCACGGCTCCCATCCACAAGCAGACAAAGATAAGCTAAAAATTACAGGCTGCATTAAAGCTACATGTCTAAATACGTCTAGGTGTGGGTTTCATTGTACTCTTGCATCTCTCATAGGACTCTGTGTTCCTGCTGGCCTTTTTGCCTCATTTTGCAAGGTTTCTATTTTTGGGAGGCCTGGGGTGGAGCTTGCAGAGTCCCACACCAGCAAAACAAGGAGGTAGCAGCTCTCAGCCTCTGTGCAGAGAAAAGCTGAGTTGTTCTTCTGCCTGGGCTACAAGCCTTGCCGAGCAGCGTGCCCTCCGCTGTAGAAAGCAGCCTTAGCCAGGGAGATTCTGGGAGAGTTTTTGAAAAAGAACCTGGCATTGCTTTTGTCTCTTGGGCGTGTTTACTGGGATATCTAAATGTAAAACACAGCTCAAATTCTTCTTTTATTTTGGCTCAGGATTTTGGAAAACTGACAGAACTGAAGGAAAAACAAAGTGTTTGTCATGTAAACTGATAACTGTGCTTTCTGTTTCTCGCTTATCAGGCGTGCTTTGCTGTATTAGTTCTGCAGCTTTTTTTGCTTTAAAACTCCTAGATCTTTACTATTAGGTCATAGTCTCCCTAAAGCAAAAGCAGAGGAATTAACAGCATCTTCAGTTAATTCAAGGCCTTCCACTCCTTCACTTGCTTTTCTGAGGCTATCTTACTGCTGCATGGATAATAGAAATTCATAAGCACAACCATCTCCTGAATGGAGCGAGCAACGGAGAACACTAATCCATAAACAGACGCACGATATCTCCACGGTCTGAATAAAAGCATCTTCCAGTTTCAAGTGTAATACAGTTGTCAAACTGAGTGGCTGAAGCGGTGAATTTGGGACGCAGTTGCTGGCTTTGCCAGTTGATCAGCCCGGTTGTGGGCATAGCCTTTGGCACCTGTGCCTCTGTATCCCCTTTATCAAAACAAATGTAAGGCTTTGTTTTCTTCCTAAACTTGCAGTGCTCTACAATCACCTAAGAAGGGTTCCCTAAGACAGTATCTGTGAAAGCTTAATTGGGGCTTTTTGGTTTGTGCTAACATTGTATTTTTCAGATGTGTAACCAGCAGCAAGAAGTTAAATTTTCAGTCAAGCTGTGGAAAGGCTGATTGAAGTGGGATAGCTCTTAACAAGTTGTTTCCATTCTAACACAATTCTGCCAGTTCCAGCGGTGTTTCCTATCCATGTAGGCACCATGCAGAGTTTTGTGGGGAAACCACATGCGATAGAATTAGATAAAACGTTCAGAAAGCTGCTCACGCAAGTGTACTGAGCTAACTGCAGCACGTGTCTTAGGTGCAGTGCTTTATTGTAAAACCCTGGGTTATAAGCTGATAATCACAGGTTTTGTTCTTGCCCTGAAGTAGTCCTTGGAAAAGTTCTCCTCCATGAAATCCAGCAGATGATCCTAATGCACTGAACTGCACGGTGTCATCTGCAAGCTCCCTAAAGCATTATATCTACAAGGTCTTCTCTTCATTGCTCCTTGAGAAAGTAGCTTTCTGTGACCTGTTTTACTGGCTTGTCAGTGAGAAATTATCTTCTGGCAACTGTTAACTAAGCTGTCGCCACAAGAGTTTCTCTATCAGCTAATAAACGGCACCATTTTAGCTATCGGACAGGTGTGATAAACCCTAATGGGAACAGGCAGTCCACTTATTTCCAGGTATTCCATAAACTGATGTTCCAACTACCCAAGCTGAACAATCTGTTTAGATTTGACTTATTTCCCAGTAAACTGGATATGCTTTGGAAACTCGTAATAAACTGTTGCAATGACAAGGCAAAAGGAAAGGCACAGTTTGATTTAAATAATCTAAATAATTAGGAAATGAAGTATGAAGTCTCTCCTTGTTCTCTGACACTACTAACTGCTGCTAAGCTTGCTGAGATTTTGCCTACATCTTAGGTCTCTTTTGTTAGAACAAGTGAGAAAATTAAACCCTAACAGTTGTTTTGCAAATTACTTTTGTTGCAGGTGGCAAATTTGAGTGCCAAGGACAGCACTTTCACACTGAAAGATTGTGTATACAAAGAAGTGCAGAAGGACTGGCCTGGCTACTCTGAAGGAGATCAGCAGTTGCTGAAGAGGATACTTGTTCGGTAATTATTCCATCTTCTCTGTAATATCATCTGGAGCTTGAAAATACTGGGCCAGGTCAGTTGCTATAAATCAGGGTAACCGAAGTCAGTAGAACTACAGTAAGTTGAGTGTTTGACTTACTTTAACATAAAGTAAATCTGTTTATCATCCAAGCAGCTGTAGAAGTTGACTAAACTTGAATATCAAAGTGGATGCACTCTTCAGATCTTCCTAGGTTGCCTTTAAATCATTATACTAAAAGCCAGGGGAAAAACCTGGATGGAGAACAAAAGCTGGTAACAGTTAGAAGTTAATGGTGGTTTAAAATCCTGGGAAATGAGCGGATTAAGGCAAATATGTCCAGCTAAACCCTCCACTGAAACTCTTCTTTCCTTTCTCCCTGTTGTCTTGTATGTGGGTTCCTGTGCAGACTGCCGTGTTTGTTGAAGGCAAGGACGATGTTGCCGTGCAGCCATGTCCTCAGCTGTCTTTCCCAGCTGCTTCTGTGCTCTATTCCTGTGGATGTCCCTATTCCTCTCGAGCTGTTTGCTTTGGAGACATTGCTGCTTAATCTCTGTAGTGTTATTTGGATATTTGTTTACTGTGGGGTTTTGTTTTTTTCTTGTGTTGCAAATTCCATTGGTATCACAGTTGTCCTGCCAGATTAAGATTTGAAGTAAGGGATGAGTGAAAAAGCAAGAGGCAGTTCTGTAGAGATCAGTCCCCTAAAACACGTGCTGATGTCTTCCTGCCCATCCAGTGCAATCCTCACTGCCCAAGGGAAACCTGTTCTCATGTTCCTTCCTGAAAATAGTCCTTAACAGAGTTAGTTGAGATGATGATAGCTTTGTCTCATTGGCCGCTAAAGACTTTTTTTTTTCCCCTCTACAGATATTTTTTCCTTAGGTGAAGCCTCCAAGCTTGGAAGCTTTTGGCTGGCAGGCAGCAGGAAAAGAGACCGTATCTCCCAGGTTTCTAAAGGAGAATTCTGCTCTGAGGGTTGATAGGGTTTTCAGTGTGTGTGTACTGACTTGGTACGGATTTTGTAATGCAGATAGAGATTTTACTTGACTTGATTTTGAGACTTATTTCATTGTGCTTTTGGTTAAGATTAAGTAGAGCATGCTCTGTTGGAACAGTTTCCATGATTTGAAAGCACAGTTGGCTTGGAGATGAGACTTTGTTAAACCAACAGAAACTTGCACTTAAAGTGCTTTGGCATGCTAAAGAAAAATCGAACTTATTTAAATGGCCTTGATGTTGAATTGTAATTAAAAGAAAAAATACAACTGCCATGCAATCTTCATGGCTTTCAGAAAAGTTAATTTCTCCCTGTAGAAAGCAATGTTTACTGCTTTTTTCTAGAATTGTGGCATTCAGTTATAGCAAAGGTCTAAAAATAGACCTTGGAAAGGATGTATTCAACTGTACAAACAAAGACCTGCTCAGCCAATGCAGGTAATGAGGCTACAAAATGGAAAAAACATGTAGGGTTGAAGACAGTAGAAAAACATTCACAAAAAGGGCGCAGGCACCAGACGTAGGACTTTACGTAGCTGGCTGTGGTAGTCTGCCTGGTTGCCTAGATCCAGCCAATTGTTAAATGTCCTCTCGGTTTTCAGGTCCAGTTGCCACTTGATGGTTCAACGGCTGCAATAATTAGCACATCTGCAAATATTAAAACTATATCTAACAGTGCTTATGTTAAACTCACTTGTTTTTCCTCATGTTTGTGTTTTCCATCCTTCTTTCACCATTGTAGCGAAATGTTTTTCCGCTGTTACGAGAGCCGCTGAATTGAAAGTAGTCGTCTTTCATTCACTTTTTTAAGTGCGTAATTAACATGTTAGGAGATGTGACAAGGTTGCTCAGTCTAGTCAAACAGCATCCGAAAAGCCACTTTCACTGCAGTGTTTATGGAATATCACTGTTCCCCTTCCTGTTTTCACAGCCTCTGAGTACTTTTCTTGAGTCGGTCTATGACTGTTGAGATCGTTCTAAATAAAATTAAACAAAGCAGCAACTGAAGCCAGAATGGCAGTGAAACTGCAGACATCTAAATGTTGCTGCAATAGGGCCGAAGGTTCAAGCTCAGGTTAAAAGAAAATCTTGTAAAGTCGTGGGCTCTTATCTCTGAAATAATCTTCCCAATGTTTGAAAAACATGTGCACTTTAAGGCTGGTTATAGTCTCTTGTGGAAGAATTTAGGTGTTGGCTATTTAGGCTGTACAGCTGGTGACAAAATGACTGCAGAGCTAGTTTATTAAAACCTTTAACCCTGAATATTTTTTTTTTCAGCTTGACAGCTGCAACTTGATGCAACAGTAGTTTTTCCTGGGTGATTAATATATGGGCAATCTGGGTGGTGTCAGAAGAGTAGGGCAAAGCTGGTGTGCTGTGAAACTTTACTCTGAGATCTGGAGAGGCCCTTGGGCGATGGGGAGTGGAGATACCCAGCGTGAATGTGAATTAACGCACCTACGTGATTGGAATGACTTGTGTTGTACTTTTTTTGCTACAAGAGGTTTCTGTTGTTTGTCGAATACCACAAATACAGACCAGATTAGCGCTCTTTTGCATGATGCAACTTTAAAAGTATTATTATGAAGCCCTAAATGTAAATCCTAGTGGACCAATAACATCTTAACAGTCCCGGTTATAATCCTGCCTTTCCTGGGCCCAGAGGGGCTTCCTTCTGAAAGAGGGCTGCTGTTCCTGCGAAATGTTATTTTGATGGTGCTGATGAGTGGGAGACCTTAGTCCTTAACATCTGAACTTGAGTTTCGGTCCCTTTTCAGTGTGCCTGCTTTCTGAATTGTCTCGTGAAGACAGTTTTAACTGGGTGAGGCAGAAATTAGTTTATTTAAAGTCTTGCTTATTGAGCTGTATTTCAGTCATAGCAAGAATTTATGTGTCTTACACACTTTAAAGTTCCATGCCAGTTTTTACTAATCGGTACATGGATTATTTTTCTAAGATTGTTGTAATACTTATGTCACCAGTTCAAGAGAAAAGAGGTAAAACTGTCAGAAAATAAGTTCCATCCTTGGTAGGGAATCCTTTCATGTGTCTGATAACTCAGCCTGCCTCCTCCCTCCTTGCCACGACACCAGCAGTGTCAGTCCAAGGTCTTACCTCCATTCACAGGGAATGACAAAGATGATGGGAAGGCAAGAAAGAGATAAGCAATTAACATATGTTGTTGATTGATATTTTCCTGTAGTAGTTTCTTCTTCCTATATTTTGTCAGAGGTTTGAAATTGTAAGTGCCTGAACGAGCTGCTTCCATGGCATCTTCAAGCAGTCAGAATCTGAGCCCACAAAAAGGCTCTTTGCTCTGCAGGAAGATTTAAAATCACAGTCTGTTGGCTTGTCAAGCACAGGACTTGAACAGCCCTAAATTCTGTTTTTCAGGAAACTCTGTCAGCCGCAGAACAGTAGCGGTTTTCAAGGAGAAGCGCCTTCCCTGAGTCCACCAAAAGACAATGTGAACTCCAGCTCTCCTCCTCAGGTGGGTGATCCCTCTCCAAGGGTGCGGGGTCTGGTTAGCGCAGAGCCAGCAACTGGCTCCATCTGCTCCTGATGGAGTTGGTTGCTGGACGTAGGTCCGCGCTGAGCTGTTCAGCCTGTCTGCGCACTGTGTAATCACCTGCTGCTGGAGGCTGTTAGGTCATAGGTTGTTGGGTTTTTTCTGTTTTATTAAGTTAGAGTCTAATTCTGGGTTTCCTCAGCATCTGTTTCTCCTCTGGATGTGGTTCAGTGACGGCCTATGGGGAGGATCTCTGACAGTGTGTCTTGGGTTTAGTTTTAAGGGCTACATTTTTTTCACAGCACCTACATCCCTCTTGGAGTTCCTGGGAGAATGAGCTTGTGTTTTACTCATTACTAATAATTGACTGGAACGAAGCAGTAATAAGTAGCTCCCAAACACAGTTGGGTTATTAAAAACATTGACCTTTTGCAACCTAATTGCCATGACAGATCAGGGGCAGGTTGGTCTGCTCTTTGATTTGTTGAGATGCCAATGCATGGAGCTGTGAAAAGTACATTTGGACTGTTTTTTCCATGACAATAAACTGCAAAGGAGCCGCATTTGCTTTTGTGTGTTAAGCAGAGTCTGTCTCTGCTCTTCTCAGTATCTCTTAGCACAGGCATTTCTTGCTAGCGTTGTGAAATGCCGGCTTTCCTTCTCTGCTGTGGGTCAGCCCAGACAAGTTGAGTATTTATTCTCCTCCTGCCAGTGGAATGTGTAATGCCTGCTTGTCTGGACAGACGCACTGAGGATTAGTGGCAAAGAATATTAGCAGGTAAAGAAATTATGTACTTTCTGGCAGCGAGAGGGAGGCAATTCTCTATTGAGAACAAGAACTGTGCGACTTGTTTGCCAGGTAACTAATTCCAAATCCTCTCCTGCTCTGCTGTGGGCATGTTCCTGGTGAATAAAGAATGATCCCCTTCGTTCACGTGAGCTTGGAAAGACACAGTGCTGTTAGGAGGCTGGTCTTGTGTTTTTCTTGACCTGATTCTGAGAAAATCTAGGCTGAAAAATCATCTTACTTCTGGCTGTACGTATTTTGAAAGATGCAAAGGTCTGTAGGGGATCTTTCTGGTCTCTTGGGGTGACCCAGTCGAAACTTTGGGTGGTTGGTTGATTTGGATCTAGAAAAGGCTACTGAAACGGGGGCAACCAAAATGGGATGTATGTGTTTCCAGCAGTGCTTCTAACATGGCTTTTGTCAGACAGCAAAGCACAGACAGCTTTTTACTGTAAGCAGTCGTCTCTTTTTTTTTTTTTTTGATGCTCTATAGCTGTAGTTTCTATTTAGAGAGGGAATGCCTGCTAATGGTTGCAGTCCCAGCAGAGGACTGGGATTTGGTAGCCTGGAACGCAGAGTATTTTGGGAAAGTTCAGTTGTGGAATGAAGACGAAGAAAAGGATTGGTCTGGTAATTCTAAGGAAGCATGGCAGAGCAGGTATGAGATGCATATACCACCTCATAACCGAAGAGGTAATCTTGGTGCAGCTGGTGTTTGTTTGGCTTTAGAGAAAGGATAGTAAAAGACGGCAGTTCTTAGATCTGTCACCCGTTCTGCGACCTGTAGTCAAAGGGAACCGCCCCTCCTTTTGGGAGATGGGCACTGCCTGTGTTCTGCTGGGAAGGCAGGCAGGGATGTTGCAAAGCCAGTTCGACGCGCTGTCCTTGCCCCTTGGGCTCTGTGGCAGTGTGAGCAGCTCCTCTTCGTAATTACCTTGACATGTGGAAAGGATTCCTGCCACCGAGCCGTGTCCTTGAGACCCCTGCAGCTAGCAAAGAGAAATAATAACTGGGGGGGGGGGGGGGGGGGAA